TCGGACAAGGAAGTGAATGAGCACGTGGGTCGTTGTCTTTGTCACTGTTCTGTTGCTATGAAGAGAAAATGGCCCTCAAAGGGAGTGGCACTCTCAGGAGGTGTGGTCTTGTTGGAGGAAGTGTGTCACTGTAGGGGCGGGCCTTGAGGTCTTTTTCTCAAGCTTCCCTCAGCGTGCCAGTCAGTTCACTTCCTGTTGCCTGCAAGATGTGGCTCTCTTGGCTCCTGCACGCGGCCATGCTGCCCATAGGATGATGATGGACTGAACCTCAACCACCCTTAATTAAATGTTTTCTTTGTAAGAGTCACCGTGGTCGTGGTGTCTATTCACAGCAATAAAAGTCTTATAAAGGAAAGCATTTCGTTGGGGCTGGCTTAGTTTCAAAGATTTATTAGTCCATTGTCATGGCGGAGGAACATGGCAACATGCCTGTGGTGCTGGTGCAGTAGCTGGGAGCCACATTCTGATCCGTAGACTGAGAAACTCAAATCCCACCCTCAGTCACACACTTCCTCCTTGTAATCCTTTCAAATAGTGCCACTCCGGGATGACCAGGCATTCAAATGTGTGAGCCTGTGGGGGTCATTCTTACTCGGCCACAATAGTCACTGAACAGTGAACAAGTGGATGTGTCCTAACGTCATGGCCAAGGAAACGGGCAGGGTCCAGAGTAGCTTGGTGCAGAACTCAGTCTCTCAGCACTTCAGGTTTTCACTCAGATCAAAAACTTGCTTATTTTTACTTGTGTGTAGGTGTTTTGTCTATGGGAATGTCTCTGCACCACTAGTGTGGATTGCCAAGGAGGCCAGGAGAACATGTGCATCCCCTAGAACTGGAGATACAGTTATGAGCTGTCACGTGGGTGGTGGGAGTTGAGCCCTGTCCTCTGGCAGAGCAGCCAGTGCTCTTAACTGCTGAGCCGTCTCTCCAGCTGTCACTTCCTGGCAGGCTGTGTGTTTGTTTCCCTTCCACTTAAGACTGAGCTGTCCCCACATTGCCTCCTGGCCTTTTTGGATTTTCATTCGCACACTGTCACTGTCATCATCATTGGTGTTTTCAGTTTTTATTGTTGTTGGTTTTTTATTTTTGAGATTCAATCTCACTGGGTAGTCCTGGCTAGCCTTGAACTTAGAGATCCACCTGCCTCTGAGATGAAAGGCGCGGGGATCAAAGGTGTGTGCTACTGTGCTAGGCTTGTCTGTTCTGGGTTTTTTTTTTTTTTTTTTTTTTTTACATATTCCATGTCTTTGTTAATTATAATTAGGTTATTGACTGTGTGTAGCATCATTGTCCTCTTGCTCCCCATGATCTGTCTAGGACCTAAAACATTCCCCACAATGCAGTAGGTGCTCAATAAATGTGAACTGTGTATGTGTCCAACAGCTGGCCACTTCCTGCCTGTGCCCTTCCTGATGCCTTCTTAGCCTTTAACTGAAGACTCCCCTTGACTCTGCCTACTGGGGGGAGCTGAGCCAGACTCCTGTTCCGTCTGCATCCCAAGACAAGGAGGCAAAAGAGAGTACACCAGGAGTCCCCACTGGTGACATCTCCCAGACTGAGAGTCCGGCTGTGAGTGCCATGTTGCATGCCATCGCTGCCAGCCACCTGCCTGTGTGCAGCCAGCAGCAGGGTGAGCCTGACCTCACAGAGCATGAGAAGGTGGCCATCCTGGGCCAGCTGTATCACCAGAAGCCACTGGTGTTCCTGGAGCGCTTTCGCACAGGCCTCCGGGAAGAGCACCTGGCCTGCTTCGGCCACCTGCGAGGGGACCACCGAGCTGACTTCTACTGTGCCGAGGTGGCCCGACAAGGCACTGCCCGACCCCGAACCCTGCGCACCCGCCTGCGTAACCGGCGTTATGCTGCCCTGCGTGAGCTCATCCAAGGTGTGGGGGACGGTGGGTGGGAGGGACAGAGGGAAAAAAAGGAGACTGAAGCTGAGAGAGACAAGATACAGCCGGGCGTTGGTGTCGCACACCTTTAATCCCAGTGCTTGGGATGACAGAGGCAGGCGGATCTCTGTGAGTTCGAAGCCAGCCTAGTCTACAGAGTGAATCAAGGACAGGCAGCACTGTTGCACAGGGAAACCCTGTCTCAACAAAACCAAAACAGAGAGAGGGGAGAGGGGGCAGGGTGCAAATGCTGGAGCCCAGAGAAATCCTTGGAGGCGAGTTCTGAGACAGAGAGAGCAGAGACACAGCCCAACTTCAGATCGGGTCAGAACTCAGGAACTCAGTAGATGACACAGTCTCACGGCACAGTGCCCAGGCTATCCTTGAACCCAAATTCTTCCTGCCTCAGCACTTTCAAGTGCTGGCAGAAGTGGCATCTTAGATGGCCATGGCTGAGGACACCATACAGAGCACTGTGATAATCAGGTGTCCTTAAGGACTGGGAATTCCCTTCTTCACACACCATGCACCAAAGGCACTGTTGGAAACCAAGGAGGGAATACAAGGCCACCCTGAACAAAATACAGGTGGAACTCCTGGAGGAAGAAGAGCCTGGTGTAGCTGTTCATGCCCCAACACTCAGGAGGCAGAGGCAGGAGGATCGCTGAGTGTGAGGCCAGCCTGCTCTACAGAGT